GATGTTGACGCACATTATGGCCAGCTCGCCGCAGATTGGCGGTCGGTCGGTCGCACCTTACAGCACAATCAAGCCAAGAAGCCTCGTCAGCCATACCTCACCCAAGATACCCTCCGTCTCATTGAAGTTCGGCGTGCCCTTCGTGGCTATCTCAGGCAGGAGGCAGCTGAGTTCGCTCGCAGGCGTCTACTGATAGGCTTTGCGGCTTTCGTGCACCTTTGGCGGGGTACTAGGTTTACTGGGGTCCAGAGTCAGGCTGCAGACCGATGGCTGGTGCAGATTGACTGCAGCGAGTCCCAAGCCCTCTCAGCCTTTAATTTGACCACCACCGCCATCCGTCGATCAGTTGCGCGGGACCGCCTTGCCTATCTGACATCTCTTGCAGACCAGGCAGCGGCGAGAGACCTACGGGACCCTAAGGCTTTGTACGAGTCCCTGCGGCGCGCATTTCCCAGCACGCGTCCATCCCGTCGTAGTGCCTATAGACCTCTGCCAACCCTTCGACTCAGTGATGGTTCCGCCGCGTTGACTCAGCATCAACGCGCCAAGGCCTGGCGCACTCATTTTGCCGATCAAGAAGCTGGGGTCTCTGCAACCGAAGATGACTATGTTGCCCTTTTTAAGACCTATGCCCGGGGCAAGCCTTGGGTCTTTGACCTTGGAGCGGTCCCTACTCTGGGACAGATAGAGAGTGTCATCCATACCTTGCAGCGAGGTAAAGCAGCAGGTGGTGATGGCATCACAGGGGAACTTCTGCGTGCTGATGTAGTTCGAGCTGCTAGGCAGCTCCTTCCTGTCATTATGAAGTCAGCGTTACGTGCCAGAGAGCCTGTCACATTTCGTGGCGGTGGCTTAGTGCTCCTCGCTAAGCGAGCTTCCAGTATGCTGACTTGCGACAACTATCGCTCAATCCTCATTTCATCCGTGCCAGCTAAAGTCTATCACCGTTGCCTCAGGGAACAGCTCCAGCCTACATTTCAGGCCCACCGTGCTGCCTTTCAAGGTGGCGTCTTGCCAGGGCAAGGCATTGAGCTGATCTCTTTAGCTGCCAAGACCTTCTTCCGCATGTGCAACGCCTCTCAGCGTCGGGCAGCCATCATCTTTTTTGATTTGCGTGCTGCCTTTTACCAGGTCTTACGGCAGTTGCTTGTGGATACCAATGAGTGCGAAGTTGCCCTTCTCCGGCTCTTTCATCGCCTTGCGCTCCCTCCTGCGGCCATCCAGGAGCTGAGAGACCATCTCTGCAAGGCTACAGAGCTCGAAAGGGCTGAAGCAAGTAGCCACACCAGAGCGTTGATTGCCGACCTTTTTAAAGGGAGCTGGTTCAGGCTGTCTGGCAGTAGCTTGCTCACGGTCACTTCACGTGGCACCAGACCAGGAGATCCTACAGCCGACATCCTTTTCGCCTTCACGCTGACAGCATTTGTCAGAAGAACGGCCCAGGTGCTCAAAGAGGCAGGACTCTGTGCTGACATACCCTTCTGCACACCGCGACATTCGGCCATCGATCACCAGGGCGCAGTCACTTTGGATTGCCCTTCTTGGGCTGATGACTTTTTCTTCCCTCAGACTGCTTCCGACGATGGCCTTCTTCTGCATCGTGTGCGGTCAAGTGTCGCCTGTTTATCTGGGCATGCCACCGGTCTCGGGATGACGGTCAAGTACGGCGTTGAAAAAACAGCGGTCCTCCTTCCGGCGACCATCCACCAGAGTTCCCCTCTCCTTGACCGCAACGAGGAGGGGCAAGCCGGGGTGCTGTTCACTGATCCTACCTCGACTGCCGCGCAATTTTTGCCGGCTGTTGCGGCATACAGGCACCTAGGTGGTATCATTACAGCCAATGGTGACCCTGTGCCAGACCTCCATTTGAGGTTCGCAAATGGCATTAATGTGGTCCGCTTTGCGTAAGTGTTTGTTTGGGGCCCGGCGCTTTGATCCCTGTGCGCCGGACCCTTCTACGCTCGCTTGCGGTTTCGCGGTATGTTCACACGGCCTCAGCCCTCTTGCTCAGCACAGCCAGACAGGTGCGGGTGTGGGAAAAACACTATGTCCGGCTCTGGCGGGCTTTAGTTGCCAGGACTGCCGCAGATTCACAAGAGCATAGCTATACTGTGCTGCTCGCTGCAGCTGCGCCCCCACCACCACTTGCGCTTGCTCAGGCCAGAGCATCCCTGCTCACTAAGCTCTTCCTTCGTGGACCCGCAGAGCTCTTGGCACTGCTCTTTGACCATTGGGTCCTCCACCCCAGATCCTCATGGCTATCCCAGCTTCAGCAGGACTTCCAGTGTGTCAGCCTGTACGTTCCCTCCGTCAAGCACTGTGTTCAGACGAGCGATGTTGTGTCAGGCATCCTCGCCTCACTGTCCGAGGACCGGCTATGGTGGCCCAAGCAGGTCAAGCAGGCGTGCAAAATCTTTCAGGCTGACCTGGAAAGGTGGAATCAACTTCGCAAGCTCTCGAAGCCCTCGAAGCCTACTACTAAGGTCGCAGTTGTTGCCCCAGAGGACTGCCCGTTTGTCTGCCACCTTTGCCGTGCTTCTTTCCCTTTGCGTAAACACCTTCATGCGCATATGGCGAAGTCGCATCGGATTTACAGCCCGGCAAGGCATTTTACCATAGGACCACGCTGTGAAGCTTGCATGAGACACTATGGACGTATCAGCCAAGTGCAACAGCACTTTAAAGCAGTCCCCTGAGTGCCTCCTGCGTTGCCTGTTTCTGTTCCGTCCCCTTGAGGTAAACGAGATCTACCAGTTGGAACAGCCAGACAAGCAGAACCGCAAGGCTGTTGCCAGCGGTAAGTGGCAGCAATTTCGATGCAGTGGCCCGCCTCAACGTGTGCCTGTTGAGTTTGGCCCACGCTTGCCTACTGCAGCCGAGCGTCATGTGCCGCCTGACCCTACAGAGCAGGCTCGCCTCAGCACTCTTGGCAAGCACTATATCCCTTCTGCCGACTGTCAAGCTTGGATTACCGGGCACGTCGCTGCTAAGAGCCAAGAGGCTCCTCGTCAGTCGGCGTGTACTTTCTGGCAGAAGCGACCCGTTTCACCCAGCAGAATTTAATGCACGCAATTTTGGGGCGCACTTCCCCGAGCTGTAATACACAGCCAGAAGACCGGATGCCCAACCGTTAACCGTTATACTATTTTGGGAATTCTTTATTATACTTATACTTATAGTATAATATACCCCAAAACCCTATTCTAATTATTAAGGCCCCTACATTACTGACCTTTGGGGAAATTCCGCATGGGCTTCTAACCCTAAACCCTAAACTCGGGTGCATGGCGGCATTTTGGAGCCTCTTGTGGGCTGCCGACTTCATGGCCGAGGGCAGCGTCGTCCTCGCAGTGCTGCTAGCTTAATCTAGGGGGCCTTATTAATTAGAATTTGGTTTTGGGCTCCTTTATAGTATGTTTATAATAAGGAACCACCAAAATCATATTGCCAAAATCAAAACGGAGTAAGCCGAGTACCGCTTACCACTTACCATTTACTAATTTTTGATATTGAATCAAGAGATCCGCGATTGTTTTAGGGAGGCTACATCATAATACATCAATATAGACATAACCTAATGTCTTACTAAACTTTACAAAACNNGTTTTGTAAAGTTTAGTAAGACATTACACTACATGTTGTAAAGTTCAGTCATATTAAAAGATTCCATATAGTATGACAGATTATGATAACATATAACCTAATATTACAGAGTATTTGATTCCACAGTATAATCTTATATAGTACAATGGGTCAGACTACAGCATGATGTCTCAAGAAGCTGTACTGTTCTAGTGCAATACAAGGTAGCATAATACAAAAGCATAACATAGTACAGCTGTTTAGTTGCCAGAGACTCCAAAGGCGATCGGAAAGCGCTGAACTTGACGGAAGGCCGCGGAGGGCTTCATGTTGTGTAAAGTTTGGGGTGTAGGGTGACTTCCTAGCTAGTCCATGCAAGTTTCATACATTCGGAATAAGGGATGAGGATATAGCTTGTAGAGAGGGCTCCAACAACAGCCAGGAATAAGCAAGATAGTTACCTAACACGCATAGTCTAGCTACACAGGTTCTAAGGTTCTGTAAGATAATTCCTCTACAGGTACGCTGCACCAACAACTGGCAGTAGCAGCAGCAGTAGTAGTACTAGTAGTTATAGTCGTCGTCGTCGTCGTAGTAATCGTCGTCGTCGTGGTGATGCCAGTGGTTGGTTTAACACCTTAAACCCTAAGCCCAATAACAGTACTCTGGAAGCCAGAATGATGTAAGCCTCACCAAACCTCGGGAAAGCCAACGTGCTCCCCAGACCTGGAAGCCTTCAGACATGAGCCTTAAAACATCACATTCCAAGCATAACCGTGACCCTTAACACCATGAATCCCGAACCCCTAAACCCTAAACTCTAAGCCCTAAACCCTAAACTCTAAACCCTAAACTCTAAGCCCTAAACCCTAAACTCTAAACCGTACACTCTAACCCCTAAACCCTAAACCCAAACTCTGGAACCCTCAACCTTGATGCCCTAAACACCTCAGGCCCTGCGTCCCGGCATATTCTTGAAGCCCTATTCCCCATTGCCTGAAGCAGTCAGCCCTCAACATCTGAACACCAACCCTAAACCCTATACGTAAAAACATCCAATTATCTAAACCTCATCCCTAAACATCTAAACATCTAAACCTCAAGCCCTAGACCCTAAATATTTAAACCTCAATGCCCTGAGATCTTGTTCATCCATACGGAAAGCGGTCTAGGGTTTGGGTTTTAGGGACCCAAAGCCCTAAACTGCAAGCCTCAAGATTTAAGACCCTGAAGAACAGCCCTTCATCCGAAGCTTCAGTTTTCACAAAACCCGCAGCCCTGTATGGGTATTTCTCTAAGTCAGGGCCCCTTTTGCCGGGCCCAGAATAGCACGGCACCCTAAAGAAAAAGAACCCCAAAAGCGATCCCTTCTTCATGTTGATGATATGCTTGCTGCAGGCGTGAAGAGTGTTCTTGAGGATTGCTGTGCCCAGCTTTGCAAGAAGTACAAAAATTCTGTCCAGTGGGTCAATGATGTGAATGATGAAGTGACGTTCTTACAGAAAAGACACATTTTGATTTCCGAATGTGAAGTTTGCATAAAAGTGCACGAGAAACATTTGGAGCGACTTCTTGAACTGACAGGCCTTGACATGGCAAAGATGCGTCACAGGCAGGTTCCAATGCCTACTGGTACACCCCCAACGGAGACCGACAACGATCCTTTGCTGCCCACTGCCGAAGCAAGCGTGTACCGCTCCTGTGTTGGAATCTTGCTTTATCTGCAAGCTGATGTTACGGAAGCCCAGTTCTGCATCCGCCACCTCGCATCCTTCATGGCAAAGCCTACCAAAGGCGCCTGGAGTTTGCTGAAGCACCTTGTTGCGTATTTGCATTTGCATCACGGGCCCTGCCACAGCCTTTCACGCAACGAGCCCGGGCACGGGCTGGTGGTACAGCTTGAAGGCCAGAATTTGGTCGAAGGTTTTTCAGACGCCGATTGGGGAAATTTAGAGGACTACCTGTATAGTAACCCTTAAACCCTACATCCTGGTATCCAAACCTTGAGAGGGATCCCAATTTAAATTACTATATAAGCCTAGGTTCCAAACGCGGAATCCAAATTCAAAGGCCCCTCGCGCTCTGAACCCGCTAAAGACGGGGAATCTCTAGCGGTTTAGGGTTTTTAGTTTAGGGTGTAGGGTTTTTTGAATCCCCATTCGAAGCCCAAAAAAAACCAAAGTCCTGCTTAAACCGTATAGAAAGCCGCTTAAATCCCCTATAGACTCCAGATAAATCATCAAGGCCCCTAAGCCCTGAGCCAACCCTACAAAACCTTATGGACACTCAGTAGAACAGCAGAGGAAGGAACCTGACAAGTATCTCTAAGCCCGAAAGCCGAGGTGGTGTTCTTCCTGGTCTTATCGTTGCTGTACCCTAGACCCTCAACCCCAAACCTTACAGCCTAAACCCTAAACCCTCAAACCCTTAACCCCTAAACCCTACTCCCTAAACACTTAGCCCTCAACCTCACCCTAAACCCTGAACCGCTGGAGCCCAAACTGTAAGCCCTAAACCCACCGAAGAGTCCCTCAACCCGTATAAGCTTCCTGGAGGATCCCTATAAAGGAGCCCTGAGCCCTCAACCCCAAACCCCGTATAGATCCATTAAAGAAGCCGGATCAAGGAGCCCTTCAAAGCCCTCCTAAGGATCCCTTTAATATAAAGAAGAGAGCCCCTTAACGCAAGCCTAAGCCGGCTGGGAGGCCTTGATCTCGGCTATGCCAGCATCGCTACGGGCATCTCAGAGGGAATCTCCGCCGTGGTGAAGGTGGGGCCGGCTTTTTGGGGGTTCTTTTGACGGGTCGTTAGGGTTCCTATAAGGGCTCCTTTAATGGTTCCTACAAGGGGTCCTTTAAGGGTTCTTGGGGGTTCCCTTGAAAGGGAATTGTACAGAGTCTGCCTTACAGAGATCCTTTAAAGGATCTATAGGGTGTATTTAGGGTTTCCTTTCTGTGGTTCCTGTCAAGGGATCCGTAAGGTCCACAGGGTTCCTTTTACAGGGTTTGGGGTTTATTTTAGGTTTGGGGTTTAGGGTTCCTTTAAAGGTTGTCCAACTGTTACCCTAAACCCTAGAGTTTAGGGTTGAGGGTTCAGGGGCTTCCTGCAAAAGGCCTAAAGCCCAAGCCGCGTAAACCGTAAACCCTTAAAGGAATCCGAACAGGAACCATTGGCCGCTTATATAAGGGTTGTCCAACAGTTACCCTAAACCCTCAACTTGAGAGCCCTAGACGAGAAACCCAAACCCTAAACCCCAAACCCTAAACCCCAAACCCTAACCCCTCAACCCTCGACCCAACCGGTACCTCCTACCCTTTTGCCTGTGCACAACTTTGCCAGGAGCCCTTCAAGCAAGCGAACGAGGAGCGGCCTTGTAGCCTTCAAACGCTTAGGGTGGAGGCTCCAAGATAGGAGCTTTAGGGTTTAGGGTTTAGGGTTTAGGGTCAGGGTTTAGGGTTTAGGGTTAAGGGTTAGGGTTTAGGGTTTAGCCGCTTGAAAAAGTAACACAGAAGCCTAAATAACTACCACTAGTATTTGGGGGGGGGGGGGGTCCGTATTATACTTATCGTGCAATATACCCAAAAACCCTATTCGAGGTGCTCCTTTGAGGGTTTAGGGTTTCGTGTTCAGGGTTTAGGGTTCGGAGGGCTGGGCGCTTCGGGGGGGGGGCATCATCTTAAAGTTTTCCAGTTTAGGGTTTAGGCTGGCTGAGCTCCTACGATCATATGGGCTTAGGGTTTAGGGTTTAGGGTTTAAGCTGTTGCAGGGTTGTTATCATCGTATACTTGTCATACCTTCAGCACCGAGAAGCATGTTTTCAACGAAGAGATACCTATGCTGCTGGCCGTTTTAAGTTTATCGCGCCCAACAAGCAAAACTCCAAAACAAACGAGCGCATCAGAAGTAACTAGCCTGGCATTGCCGAAAGTAGGAACGGTGGGATGGCTCTACACTCTCGAAGGGTGCCTGCCCAACCACATAATCTCTCGATTATAGTGAACCCCACAGGGGTGTCACAATGATCGGAAAATAATTCCAAAAATCCACACCCCAAACCCCGCGAGAGATACCAGCGTTTAGAACATCATGTCTCTCCTAACCAATTGAACCACAGAACCCCTGACCCCAAATACTACAAACCCTAAGCCCTAAACCCCAAACCCAAACCCCAGAACAAAAAGACTCAAAAGCCCAAAGCCGAAGGTCCGCCTAGAAGCCACCCTAAACCCTGAACCCTAAACCCTGAGAATCCAAAACTCAAGGGTAGTTATAAGTGGAGTTATGGGGTTCCTCTACGGGTTCCTTTGAAGGGTTCTATAGGGTTTAGGGTTTAGGGTTTGTGGGTAGTTCTAAGTGGAGTTATAAGTCCCCTAATATGGGTTATAACTACAGTTACCATACTTATAACCCCATTTATAACTATCCAACCCTAAACCCTAAACCCTACACCCTAAACCCTAAACCGTAAGTAGAAGAAAGGCAGAAAGGCCTTGCTGTGCGTGGAGAAGGCAATTGCCGTCACCGTGCCGGTATGGCCCTGGGCTTGCCAGGTTTGTTTTTCAGGGTGTGGATAATTCGAGTAGGGTTTTGTGGTCTGTTATATGAGAATCAAAGGGTTGAGGGTTTAGGGGTGTAGAGCCACGGTTTAGGGTTTAGGGTGTAGGGTTTAGGGGTTTAGGGTTTAGGGTGTAGGGGTTTAGAGGTTTAGGGTGTAGGGTGTAGGGTTTAGGGTGTAGGGGTTAGGGTTTAGGGTGTAGGGGTTTCGAGGTTTAGGGTGTAGGGTGTAGGGTTTAGGGTGTAGGGTTTAGGGTTTAGGGTTTGGGGTCTAGGGTGTAGGGTGTAGGGTTTAGGGTTTACGGTTTAGGGTTTAGGGTTCAGGTTTTAGGGTGTAGGGTTTAGGGTGTAGGGACGTCCTATTGTCCGTATGACTTTTCTCATATTTGCACATTTGTACACAACATGACCATTATAGCAATAAGAATAATAATCATGAGCCCAAAAGTCCCGGAGACAATGGTTTTAGTAAAGGGGCCTTCATAATTAGAGTAGGGTTTTGCGGTCCATGATATTGGAGGGAGTGTATGATCATGAAATACGTGGACACTGACTAGGGTCCATCATCAATCCTCAACCCACTAAGCCCTAAACCCTTAGACCCTAAACCCAAAGCCCTAACATCGAAAGTCCTGAAGTCCTAATCCCCCGATAGCACGCTGAAAGTCCCGAATCGAAACCCTGATATTTAATTCCCCCAACCTAATGTAGGGGCCTAAATAATTAGAATAGGGCTTTGGGGTAACTTTTATTATAGCTATAATAAGGAAGCCCCCAAAATAGTATAGGTAACTATTTAAGCTTCTATATTAAATCCTAAACATCCCTAAGCCGAACCCTAAACCCTAAACCCTAACCCCTAAACCCTAAGCCGAGCTGGAAGATGAACCCGAAAGCTGCGTATGCGCTGGGACAGTGGCCGAGAGAGTCAACTCGCCGGATCTCTCCTGCACCTTCGAGCACGCGAATTTGGGTTTAGGGTTCACGGTTTAGGGTTTTGGGGTTTAGGGTTTAGGGTTTAGAGGTTTTGGGGTTTAGGGGTTTTAGGTTTTCGGGTTTAGGCGTTTCGGGCTTCGGGGCTTTACAATTTAGGGCTTCGGGGAGAGCGTTCGGGATTCAGGGTTGAAAGGGTTCTTCTATGTGAGTTCTATACAGGTTCTATAGAAGTTCTCAGGAGGGCTACCATCAGCATTACCAGGCGTTTGGGCTTGCGAGATACATCGATGACTCCTCAAACTCCGAACTCCAAACCGCCCCTTCCTTGCTCGATCCCCTCCGAAACCTCAAGCCCCAGCATGGCAAATCCCACGACAACCCTCAAACCCTAAACCTAACATAGAACCTGCATCTAAACTCTAAACCCTAACACTAAACCTAATCCCTAAACCCTAAACCCTAATCCTAAACCCTAATCCCTATACCCCTAAACCACCAAACCCCCAAACCCCCTAAACCCCCAAACCCCAAACCGCTAAACCCCTAAACCCCTAAACCCCCTAAACCCTAAACCCTGTAAACCCTATAAACCCTATACACCCTAAACCCAAAAACCCTAAACCCCCTAAACCCTGTAAACCACCCTAAACCCTTTTAACCCTAGACCCTAAACCCCCTAAACCCCCTAAACCCCCTAAACCCTATAAACCCTATAAACCCTATATACCCTATAAACCCTAAACCCTAAAAACCCTAAGCCCTAAACCCTATAGAGCCTAAACCCTAAACCCCCTAAACCTTTAACCCTATAAAGCCGAAAAGCCTTCTACACCCTCAACCCACAGGCCCCTAGCCCTGGCCCTGGACCCGATGGGCTCATGTAGGGGCCCTGGATAATTCGAACAGGGTCTAGGGTTTAGGGTTTAGGGTTTATTATATTATAATGAAAGGGTTTAGGGGTCTACTAAAACTATATTATAATTAGAGGGTTTAGGGGTTTAGGGTTTAGGGGTTTAGGGTTTAGGGGTTTGAGCGTTTAGGGGTTTGGGCGTTTAGGGGTTTGGGCGTTTAGGGGTTTGGGCGTTTAGGGGTTTGGGGCGTTCAGGGGTTTAGGAGTTTGGGCGTTTAGGGTATATTATACTCTAACTATAATAAGGACACACACCCCAGAAGAGTCTGAGTAATTATTCAGGCCCCAAACCCTAAACCCTAAACCCGAAAACCTGAAACCCCTAAACCCTAA